GGCACAATTACTAAAGAAACTATCAACCTGTAATGATTTCGCTGTGGTTGAAAGCTGAAAAGTTGTAAATAAAGTGGTAATAGCAACAGGTTTTCCTCGTATCTCTACTAATTAAGAGTGTGAGGACGGAGGGAAGTGAGCAGCTTGATTTACACAATAGGAGCGTGGGCGCTTATTCGAGGAAACATGGTACTTGCTTTCCTTCGACAATAACGCAACATCGATTTAGCAACCAAGAAGAAATAAATATAAACAGTCATTAAGGAAAAACTCACGGACCTTTTCTTCTTGACATCGCTAGGAAATGTTCCGTAAGGGCAGAAATTTCGGAATCTTTCAAGAATGAGGCATACAGTGATTATCGGCCAGTTCCTCATTCTTATTTCTTTGACAGGCTGTACGGGATGTTTCGTCAATTTGTAATCGGTCTAATACATCGTTCATGTACCTTCGACCAGATCAAAGTTTTTTCTTCATTTTAGCAGAAATACACGATTTACTTCCTGCTCTGTATGTTTTTTCTCCTTCTCGTTTCATGGAATACATTTCAATCACGATTCTTAAAACGGGTTTTCGTCACATCACAATTCAGAAATAAAAAATTGGCGAATTCCGAAGATTACAAAAATCTCCGACGGTCCCCCTACCACTATAGTTTGCAAATTGATGAATTTGACCGAGGCTTTTCTAACAGAAAACCATTAGGAGGTTAGAATCCGAGAAGGAAGGAAGGGAAGGAAATTGGAAATCTTGAGATACTATCAGGAGATATATGAGAAATAGAGACCTCGTGGTGAGTTAAGGGAGTGAGGGGGGATGGGGGTGGGGGTGGTTGAAGGGGTGGGTAACCTTTAACGCCGTCCCATAAATCCCGTCATCCTCTTCCACTTGATCGATTGGAGCATGAGACTTTACGTGAGCAGTTGCACAAATAGAGCAGGCCTAAAACAGCCAGTCACTGCAGTGTGGATAAAACCACAGGTGTTCCAAGCTCACATTTCGAGAAAACGCAAACAATTAACTCATGAAGGCGTCACACGTTGTGTGACTCTGTATATAGGGAACAGGAATAACAGTGACGGCAAAACAAGCTTAAAACGGTAAAGAACACCAGAAACCACGACGGACACACAAGATGTGAGTAAGTTCTAATGGTTTTACTTGTGAAATGTTCATACTTCGAAATATTTATCGTAGCAAATCGACCATGTTTCTTTCCCCATAATTTTCCTCATAACGGTTCCTTCCGTAACTTAACACCGAGTCACACAACGCGTGACGCTTTCATGAATTAATCGTTTGCTTCTTCTCGATACACGTGAGCTTGCGACGCCTGTAATAAAACATAATGGTCCGATTGGTTCGTCGTGATGACCTTCGCTGACATCACAGGGCTCAAAAGTGTTCCCTTTTCCTAATTTGATATAAATTAGTTTAGTGCACTTCTACAATTGCAAAACGGAACACTTAAAAACAGAACTTATCACTAAGAAATCAGCCTTAAAGGCTTAATATATAAAAATCAGGAGATAGAGTCAGTGTCTTACAATGTGCAATGCACAGCCACAATGGAACATGTCACCTGAGGAACAATTCCAGCTTCTCAAATAAGAAAGATATAATAAAACCATGACTTAACTGTAACTCACTTGACAATTTTAAGAGTACAACCTATACAATACTGAATTAAATTATTTAACAATTCAGAGTTAGGGAAATACTTGTCAAACAAAGTTTCCCTTCTTCCACCAAACTCAACTGACTTTTGAAAGCTCCGATGACTAAATGTCAACCACAATGCAACCACAATTACATTAGTTTCAAATGGAATGTTTAGAAATTTAGGCAGGCAGAAGCCTGTCCCAAATTAACAAACAGCTAAATTCATTCACAGCATTTTGAATGCCATAAAAATTAAAAAAATATTGATTCTAAATCACAAAATTGATATTCACATTGTTTTTTTGCTCTTAGTGAAGACTTCAAACTGTAGTTAAGGTTTTGCTCTTTGCCACATTGAAATATCTATGATTTTCTGAAGAATGGCTGCATTGAGGACTTCTTACATTTGCATCAAAAGAAATGACAGTCAGCCTAATGAATAATTTAATTGTCAAGGCAGCACATAACCATTAGACTACTAAACTAAAAAATGACAAAAAATTACCTCAGTCTCTAACTCAATGACATGAAAACCAAATTTTGAAGCTCAAAGCTGTAAATCAAAAATACAACCAACAATATTGGACATCGAAAAATAACCTAATATATATCCAAATCCAACAATCAATTTCAAAGATGAGACACTCTGACTCCAGAGGAACATCCCACATGTTTTTAGTGATGTTGTGGAAGAGAGTTACTATATTGGTGAGGGTATCAATTTACCTAAGCTAAGTGACTCTAAAAATACATTTCCTTATCTTTCATCCAACAGTTGATTGTTTGTTCATTTGATCACAACAATGAAGTCTCCTACCATTGGTCAGAAACCTACCAAACTGACCAATCATCTTGAAATGTGCTTTGTTTAATCAGGTTTCCTAGACTTGTTTTCATATTTTGTTCAATACAATAACTACAACTTAGGTATTGACTTCTCTAACTGAGCAGATCTGAGGGAATTCTATCAATGGATGGACTGGTCTGGCCTGACAGTTCTGACCAATGGTAAGTTTCCTTAGTTGCAGGCAGTCTACTGAGTCAGTCCTAGTCAGTTACGTTTCCAGGCAGGACCCAGGCTCCTCCTCATCACCTGAGTCAGGAACTAACCCAGGATCCTCCTCATCACTTGAGTCAGTAACTGCCCCAGGATCCTCCTCATCACCTGAGTCAGTACCTGACCCAGGCTCCTCCTCATCACCTAAGTCAGGAACTAACCCAGGATCCTCCACATCACTTAAGTCAGTAACTGACCCAGGATCCTCCTCGTCACCTGAGGCAATAACTGACCTAGGCTCCTCCTCATCACCTGAGTCAGTACCTGACCCAGGATCCTCCTCATCACTTGAGTCAGTAACTGACCCAGGCTCCTCCTCATCACCTGAGTCAGTACCTGACCCAGGATCAGACTCTTCTTCAAATTTGCTCCAATAATCTCTCCAGTATTCATCTGATGGCCATTCTTCCTCAGGTTTGACATTCCCTTTGTCATCCTGTCATAAATCACAAACCAACAATCAACATTATCTTGTCAAACAACATACACCTGTACTCCAACTTGTTAACCCTGGTTACTTTTTATATGAAGAGAAATTATGCCATGAGTATGTTTGACTGAGTCAATTTAAAACAACTTTTATATTAAGGGATGGTCCTTGTAAGCAAACATCACAAATCTCACAAATATTTAGATATATTCCAATTACATTCATGGTAAGGTCCACACTGATTACGTTATTAGAGAAATAAGTTGAAGTGTTCAAAAAATATACATAACATCAAAGTGACCACCTCTCCTAGAGTCTTATAGCTACTTGACCTGACAAGCCCCTGCAGAGAATACAACTACAGGTAACCTTTTAAGGAAAAGGTTCAGTAGTTCATGTGAGAACAAGGAAATGCTGATGTCTCCTCTTTAAAGGTTATGAATATTTAATTAGTGGCTCATCCACAGCTAATACTCATTTTCAAACTTGGGAAACTGCAAAGGTGGGCATTATTTGTGAGCATTTCAAATACTGCAATATTTTTGTAGTTCAGCAGCTCATCAACTTAGCAGTCTGCTTAGTAAGTTAATATAAAAAATGTAAAGACATATCACCAGTTAGGGCAAGTTTGATTCAGACAGATGTAACCTTCATTATTATTTTTACACAGGCTGATTAACAAGAAATTCTCTGGATAGAGTAGGATAAAAACAAGTTTGAACAATGTAACTGAAAACCATTGACATCAGAGAATCTCTGCCTGCGAAATTTGAACCAGTATCTCTCTTACAGTGGTAGCATTCTTTCTCTACTACTTTTCAAGTGGAAGCCCTTGGTCATTTCTTTTCTAATCAACAATGTTCCTGGTAACTTTTGGTTAGGACCAAAGGAAGAAAAGGAAAATCTGTGTAAAAGGAAGTTTAAGGGAAAACATTCTGCTGTGCCTTTATAGCATTTTTTAAAAACCTAAATTATATACTGAATCACTGAGTTAATCAATCAAATAAAAATTACAGATTTATGCTAACCTTCCTTCTACAAAACTCCCAAATACTATTCCAGAAGCTCTTTCTAAGGGAATACTCGGGTATCAAAATTTTTTTCTCAGAGCGTCCAGAAACATCCCACATTTCCTTTGAAGTTTAGCTTTTCCTCCATCAGAAAGAAGCTTCAGCTTTAAAGTATGACATTGTTTAACAACTCCTAAGAGCTGTAAATAAAACAAAGTGAAAAAACTAAGGTCTCAAATCATTTCTTACAGGCAGATACTCAGTTCATGGTAAGTACAAGCAATTGTTTGCTCCCTCAATTCCTGTTTCTCTTACAGAAATCAAGACCACTTTCCCAAGGAAAAAAATAGCTAAACAAATAAACAAAAGTTGGAAACCAGTCCTAGCAGATTTCCTAAATTTTAAGACAAGTGTAGAAAGTAGCTCCTTGATCTTTTCCAAACACTGACATTAACTTTCTGTCATTAATATCTGAAAACACGCAGCCGTCCTCACATTTACTTTTGTTTTACAAACTGAAAAATGTCTTATTTTCATCGTGAACAGTCTTTTCAGTTCTGTGTTATTATTTCTTTGCGGGCGAACTGACAAAGTGATTTTAAACGCCAAGAAACTAATACAAGGTGGTCCAAACTTCCGCCAGTTCTTCCAGAAACACAGCAAGAAGTAAATGCAAACAACAAAGCGACAGCGATGTAAACAGCGAAAAAAGTATAGAACTGCACACCGTGGTATTTACACATGTCGCATGAAAGAATTCAACGTAATTACAAATTACATGTATAGAACTGATTTGAACTGACTGGTGGTGACTTTTCATGAGATAAACTTCAATCTTGTTCTATAAAAGCAAGGGAAATATGGCACTTGCTTCGCGAACCAAGGGCGTAAAAATTCTTAACACAACACCACAGTAAATTGAACAGAATGGACATGAACAAAGACTACATATGCAAACTAAGATCACAAAACTCACGTGGTAGAGTGTCTGCAAAGAGGAGATGTTACTCTGACGTACAGCTTCACTCAAATCATTCACTTGTTGCTTTGTCAATTTAACATACGAGAGGTTCAGTGCAACCAGGTGAGGAACACGGCTGAGATGTCGACTGAGAACACTTACTCCTTCACCAAGAGGGTTTTCTGACAAATCGAGCAAGCGCAGGCCAGGAGCCTGGTGCAGAGATCTAGCGATGACTGCGGCAGGTTTGGCTGTTAAATTGATATTACTAGTTATAGTTCTCACTAGAGCTGCCCCCGCCCTACAGTACCATTTTCTTTTTTTTTTTTTTAGTTGGGCTTGTTGTTTACAGTTGTGTAGTTATGACCATTTGCGGGAAAAACGTTGATACCTTGCGGCCGTGCAAGCGATCAAATCGAGATTTTTTTGGTTACGATCAACCGAAAACACCTACATTCTCTCTTCTCCAGTCTTCCTCTATACTAGGACAAATCTCGTGTCAAAGACGCCGATCCTAAAAGTCCTCGCGCGCGTGTCTTTTTACTGGCAGCCCATGACCATTTGCGGGAAAAACGTTGATACCTTGCGGCCGTGCAAGCGATCAAATCGAGATTTTTTCTGGTTATGATCTACCGAAAATACCCACATTCCCTCTTCTCCAGTCTTCCTCTATATTACGCGGGGAGTCCTAAGGTGCCTCCTCGGGTTGGTAAAGTAGGTCATTGAAGATGATACGAGACACCAGGGTCTCTGTCAACTGAGCATCAATGATTTCAAAGGGTTTGCCAGTAATATCTATCCATTGCAGATCAGTGAAAAGTGGTAAGAGATCAGCTAGCATCTTCATCTCCTGCCTTTCAATGTGGTAAATAGTAATTTGAGTCAGACAGGAAAGACTCTGAGGAGTCAGATCAGTGATGCTAAAAGTGTTCTGAGTCAAACACGGAGTTGTTTCGTTGTCTTGTTCATTCAACGGATCACCAACACGCTTCACTCGAGTAGACTCTTCTGTTAGCGAAATGAGCCCTCGCAGCATTTCAGTCGGAAAAGTGACACCATCTTCTTCTTTCCATAAACAACAAACATAAACGATGATTTTTCTCTCTCTCCTCAAAAAGAACTCGCTCACAGGACGACGCGGGAACTTCTTCAACAAATCTGCGGCTTTCTTTTCGCCCGAACGGCTAAAAAATACAGCATCTGTGTCCTCTGCTACAGTGATTAAGTTTTGATAGCTTTTCTCTGAAGACTTTTCGGTGTGAGAAAAAAAGATAACGTTGGGTGTCATGCCAGATTTCAGCAAACGTTCTTTTGCAGTGATGTTCAGCTTGTTAGAATCAAGAGACAAAACACCTCCGGTATAAGAGGGAAACACTGAGCAGAGATCTCGCCTCTTCTCGGCCGAACAACAAAAGTAGCTGTGCGAGATAAGCCGACGACAAAGTTCTTGATGTTGAGACAACGGTTCGGTTCGGAAAGATTCCTCTCTTCCAACACACGCTACATGACGGAAAACTACGTAAGCGGCTTCTGTTGACAGCTCACAGGCAAATTTCAGAACTTCATTCATCTTCACGATCTTTTCAAATGATTCAACTTTGGAAAGGCTAGGCGCACTTTCTCCTTTCATCGATAACACCTCCTCCTTAATGTGCCAGGCTGCAAGGAACTCCTGGACGGATTTATGAATGAAATAGGCCCCTTTCTCAGGATTGAGACTCGTAAGATTGACAATCTGGAAAAGCCCAACTTCTCTTAATTTTTCAAAACTTCTTGAAATATTGCCGGGGAGTTCGCTGCAGCGTACGTAAAGACGGTCTTGTAGAAGTGCTTTAAAGGCAACCTTTCCAAGATTACTAAGGTCTTCTCTGGCTTCCGTTGAGGTCATTTTCTGAAATGGCAAAGGCAGTTGAATTTCACCTTTGTGATCTAGCATGGTTTGAATGAATTGTGTGAATATTTCGGCCCGTGATTTTGGCAGTCCTTCGTGACGTTTCTCTTTCCACAAAATACACAGCATCAGTAGGAGGAGAGGTATTTCTGCCATGTCAACGAGATCTTTTTCTCCCAGGTAGAGCTTAAACTCGTCAAGATCTTCACCTGCCATAAATTTTCTCGCAAAGGTATCTTTTCGTTTCCAACTTTTGAAACCTTGAATTTCTAACTGAACGTGGCTGGGGCCTTTTAACTCGTCACATTCAAGTTGACGCGTGGTGACAATGACGTGACAATCTCTTAGTTGCTCACCCTTCCAAATTGCAAGGATGGGTGAGTGTTCTTCTGCAAAGCTGTACTCATCGTAGCCATCCAAAATAAGGAGCACTTCATCTTGATTGTTAATTATGTAATCATAGAGACTATCAACTGAGATCGGACCATCACTAGCCAGCAATTTAGACGCACGTAAAACATCGCGGATGTTTCCCACGTCACACACATCTCTCAACTTAATCAGAAGCAAAATGCTAAAGTTCTTTAGGATTTCTTTTAAGGTTTTCGACCAATCATATGCAGCCTTCTTACAAAAAGTACTCTTTCCAATTCCTGGCCGACCATAAACAAGCATTCGTGTATGTTTTCCCTTGAACATGTCGGTATAGTCTTCAAGTTCCTCTTGTGTCACTCCGCTGGGCTTCCTGTGATCTCTCACCCAATTCAAAGGTGTGTAGATCTCATTAATCTCAATGCAAGAGCTTTCGTTCCATGGAACGATTTTCACCTTACTGAAGGTGTCATAATAAGATTTTAGCTTCTCTTGGCACTTCTCAACATTCAACAGTTCTGAAAAATAGAGATAACAAACATGAACTTTTATCGCTAGGATGAGTAAGCATACGACACCAAGTTTCCAAAGCAACACGAACTCCAGCCTGCACAACAGACGCAATTTTTTGGCGCTTTTCAGTCAAACGGAGGAAAGGGTGGGGCGAGCGCAAAGTCCGAGTTAAGTGCGAGGGGAGAAGCTCCAAAACAAATATCTTATTTTCATTTTATGATCGATCATTAATTTTCGGCATTGAAGCAGCTGAAATAAACCAGGACAAGAATAATAAATTGTTATGATAAAAGAATATGGAAATATCTTTTATCGTCTTGCCACGAGCGTTGGACAAAAAAAAATCAAGTTCTCCCCAAGAATGGCCGTTTTTATGCTAGAGACGTTAAAGTTGTCTAAGACGTTAAAGTCGTCTCGAGACGACTTTAACGTCTCTAGCATAAAAACGGCCATCATAGAACCTCTGACCTTTGGAGTCCGCGCTCAGACACTCCATTACTATAAGTATAATATAAGTTATTAAAACGTAAGCTTAATATGAAATTTCTTAGCTTGATAATTACAATACCTGCAAGCCTTCTACGTTTATTTTCTGAAGGATCATCAATTTTACAACTCTCCTCTTCTGTTGAAATGTCTGCAAAAGGGAAAAGAAAGTCAAAATGTCATGAGCATTAAGACACACTTTACTACATTTGTGAAATGGGTAACAAGCTGGGGTCGAAATAAGTGCTGATTGGAGATGAAAATCTCATGTGAGCCTGATCACAGTTTAAAAGAGAGAAGAGAAAATTGATGGATATCAAGAATTGAAATTCATTGGAACGGATAAAAGCTAACATTTAGATCTCAACAAAGTTTTAAACCGGTTAGTAATAGTGAGGTATTTCGTAGAAAGGTAAACAAAGAAAATTTGGGTTCATCTTACTGCGCACAAGAGTCTGGACACGAAAACAATTATTAGGAGGGCAGGGGGAGGGGGTAGTTGATAAACGTGTTTAATCAGCGATTTGTAATACCTACAATCTAGTACAAAGAAAATAGATTTAAGACTTGTTAAACACAATGAAGATGCAGGAGTGAGTAATTTCTTATTAACCCTCTCTAATCTGGAATTTGAGAACGTTATCCATGACTTCAAAATTGGAATTAAAGCTACCAAAGTGAATTTGTTCCTATCTCAGACTTTTTGAAAGTTCTTTTTCACAGCAATGCGATTGAAAAACAAAGAATGCGTATGTTTTTCATTTTTCTGATATACATTTATTTCACCTGTTGGTCTTCATGTTCTCATCAGCAGATAACGATATTCTATACCCAAGACTACAAGCGTCTCCTGATGAATTTGTTTCAAGGCCAGTTCGTACCATTGCATTATGTATCCCTACTGTGCATCATTTTAGACGAAAAATGCACGCCCACATACGCGAACAGAAGATTTCTTTTTTTTTCTGCCAGTAAGAAAAATTTTCATCGCCACGTAATTGGATTTGGTGACATACCATTTATATCTAGAGTTTGCAATCGAGCGAAAAGCTCTAAAACACTCTTTTTCATACAATAAGCAACTTGGGTAACGCCGCTCTAAATCTCCGTCGCTGAGAACTCCCTGCTTGACTACAAACATAAAGACATCACAGCAAAGCATCAAGATGAGGGGTTAGCGAGTAGTACGCACCGCATCTATTCATGCCATTTTACTAGATCCACGCATTTTTATTTTACAAAGGCAGGGGGAAGAAAAATGGGGTCGAGGGGTGGGTGTTAACGGGCACGCCCATAGATATGTCCTCGTTTTACCTGCCAAACAAGTTTTTCTTTTCTCCGGAGTAAAGTCACTCAGAGACGACTCTTCATCACGGCGTCTCACCTTTAGCCGACCCAAATGTTTAGTAGAACCACCTGCATGATAACAAACGTGAAAAAAAAAAATTAGACCAGATTTTTGGACTCAACAGATTCATTGTAGCAATAGAACTTTTTCCTTTCCTTGTGAAACGTCTCATGAGGAATTTGTTTCAAGGCCACTTCGTGTCATTGCATTATGCATCCCTACTGTGTATCATTTTACACGAAAAATGCACGCCCACCTACGCGAACGGAAGATTTCTTGTTCTTTTTTTTCTGCCAGGAAGAAAAATTATGATCGCCACGTAAACGTACTTGGTGACCTACCATTCATATCTTCTGTTTGCAATCGAGTGAGAAGCTTGAAAAAAATATTTTCCATACAATAAGCAACTTTGGGGAAAAACAAAGACATTCACTGAAAATGAAAACTTGTAAGGGCACTTGTAGCACGTGCACAGTTGTATCGCATTCTTAACAAATGTTAAAAAAATTGGAACAGATTTTCTCGGTCAATAGATAAGCTTGTACATAGCCTTGACGATTTTTCTTTTCCGCTTAAAAGTTTTAAGGTTTTCCCGTCGCTTAGGGCCATTTCATGACGCATACCTACATGTTACAGATATCGTTTTATACGTGATAAGAAGGCCTACGTACACAAACTGAATTTTTTTTTTTGGAGTTTGGTTACCTAGCATTTACATTTCTTTTTAAAATTCGAGAAAAATACTTGGAAAAAACTATCCTTTATGTAAAATAAACAGCCACTGTAGAAAGACAGAGTCGTTAAAAAAGGAAGTTTGCAAAGGTATTTCCTGTACCTCTGCATTCTAGTAGGTGAGCTAGTTGCTTTCCAAAAAACTGATATTGAATTAGCTATTCATCGAAAAATTTGTCTCTGATGAAAAAACTCACCAGTTCGTTTCTTAAATTCAATGGATTCCAAAGCCTAAAAAGCTGGAGGAAATAGCGGCAACCTTACGCTTACAGTCGGCAGTTAAGTGGTGAGTGAATTTTACGCTACCAGAAAACTACATGAAAACAAACGCATCAAATGATCTTCCTTCGCTTTGATTTGGTTACCCACAAATGAAGCGACACTTTCCTGTTGCGAGGCACTGTCAACAACGAACACAGAAGATACAGTGGCCAAAAAGCATTGTATCTGTGAATTTAGGCATTATACTTCTATGTAATTCTATTTTTATTGAATTGCAAGTGATATATTACCAGTGATAAGTTGCTCAGCTAAATCTGTGCGTTTGACCAATGGATGACACAGTGCATCATGTAGGATCGTATATGTTGCAGTTGTGCCATTCTTCTCTTTCCAATGTAGTAACATTTTGTAGATCTTTTCAAAGAATCCCCTATTTTCAACATCAAACGCCGTTAAACTTGGTTCGTCAATTTTTAGACGACGCCCGACTATCTTCCATTTTTCGAGTTTCTGCGAAAGCCACTGTAAATCTTCGTCGCTGGGAACTCCTTGTTTAACTAAAAACATAAAGACATCACAGCAAAGTATCAAGATGAGGGGATAGCGAGTAGTACGTTACGCAACTATTCATCCCATTTTGCTGGATCCACGCATTTTTATTCTACAAAGGCAGGGGGGAGGAAGATGGGGTTGCGGGGGGTGGGGGTTAACGGGCACACCCATAGATATGTCCTCATTTTACCTCTTTTCTTTGGAGTTGAGGCGTCACTCGGAGACCACTTTTCATTACGGCGTTTCACCTTTGACCGACGCGGTCAGACCAGATTTTTTTAGCCGACAGATTTACTGTAGCAATGGACCTTTTTCCTTTCCTCATGAAACGTCTGCTTATGAATTTGTTTCAAGAACAATTCGCGTTATGTATCGCATTATGTATCCCTACTGTGCATCATTTTACACGAAAAATGCACGGCCACCTACAACGGCCACCTAAAAGCGGTTTTCTTTTCCAAAAAGGAAAATTCAGCCTTATCGGAGCACACATCACTAACCAACCATACAATTGGGTGGGATAATTCTAAAATTATCACCACTAATCGGCGTTACCACCAGCGCCTTTGTTTGGAGGCTTGGCATATTAACTCCGCGCACGCTCCTTTAAATCGTGACGATGGCGGCTTGCTTCCTGACGCCTACTTACACCTCTTCATAAAAAAGGCAGCTTATTAGTGATCATATAAAAGGACCTCTTGTTGCAGCGTTCAGATCACCCCTGATGAAAGCACTAGACAGGAGTGTTGAAACGTTGGGTCTATGAATTGTAACTTCTTCGGTTACATTCATTAAATCTGTAAACCAGAGTAGCATCAAACCATGTCTAAAAGATATCTTGTTCTTTTTTTTTTTTCAGCCAGTAAGAAAAACTGTCATCGCCACGAAAACGGCTTAGGTGACATATCATTTATATCTCTTGTTTGCAATCGGGAGAAAAGCTCCAAAACACTTTTTCCATACAATAAGCAACCTGGGTAAAGCCACTACTAAATCTTCGTCGCTAGGAACTCCTTGCTTGACTACAAACAGGCATCACAGCAAAGCATCAAGATGAGAGGATAGCGGGAAGCACGTACCGCATCTATTTATGCCATTTTGCTGGATTCACGCACTTTTATTTTACAAAAGCAAGGAAGGGAAAGATGGGGCTGGGGGGTGGGGCTGGGAGGGTTAACGGGCACACCCATAGATATGTCCTCATTTTACCTGACAAACGAGTTTTTATTTTCTTCGGAATTAAGGCGTCACTCGGAGACGACTCTTCATCACGGCGTTTCACCTTTGACCGACGAAAATGTTTAGTAGAACCACCTGCATGATAACAAATGTAAAAAAAATAATTAGATCAGAACATATTATTTGAGCCAACAGATTCATTGCAGCAATGGAGCTTTTTCCTGATGTAAACGGACTTGGTGACCTGCCATTCATATCTCTTGTTTGCAATCGAGCGAGAAGCTTGAAAAAAATATTTTCCATACAATAAGCAGCTTAGGGGAAAAACAAAGGCATTCACTAAAAATGAAAATTTGTAAGGGCACTTGTAGCACGTGCACAGTTGTATCGCATTCTTAACAAATGTTAAAAAAAATTGGAACAGATTTTCTCGGTCAATAGATAAGCTTGTACATAGCCTTGACGATTTTTCTTTTCCGCTTAAAAGTTTTAAGGTTTTCCCGTCGTTCAAGGCCATTTCATTACGCATACCTACATGTTACAGATATTGATTCATACGTGATAAGGAGGCCCACGTACACAAACTGAATTTTTTTTTTTGGAGTTTGGTGACCCATCATTTTCTTGTCTTTTTAAAAATTGGAGCAGGAGTTTCTAGGTGTATTATTGGGGGGTTGGTGGTCTTCTTCCCAGAGGGGAAATACTATCAAAAGCTTGAAAGCATCTCACCATCAATCTTTGTGGAAAGAAAATTACAGCTCCTGTATGTTGAATTGACGTCAACATCATTATCTTTAGCCTAGTGCAACATACATGAGCAGAGCCTGTGAAATTGCTGACGAACATGTAAAATTTCTGATCCAAGAGCTGATCTGATTGGTCACCGCATGATCATAGGTCATTAATCATGTTTTCAATTCAGTTTTGGTACTCGGTTCCAGCACATTTATAAAACACAAGACTAAACAGCATATAAGACTATACTACAGGCCAAAAAAGATAAAAGTTGATCTGTTTACCTTTGTAATGTGGCCAATCTTCAAAAATACTGCATTCCTTTAGAATGCTGACAACAAGAGAAGCTGCTGTTACACTTGCAAATGTTTGCCAGTTTTCTTTTGATTCAGTTCCATCTGCATATCCTGAAATACCCTTGACGACAACCCACTCCATTTCCAGATCATGTGCTGCACTGAAAACACCTGAGACATATAACAACAAGCTATTATGAATAAAACAAAAGGTATTCTCCAACATCTATTAATTTTAACCTTTCCCATTGTTACAATTGTTATCAAAGATTTGTAAAGAACTAGAGATATATTTTGGAAAGTCACCTTGCATATACAAGGTGCAGAGCTAGTAACTGTAGCACAAGCTTCTTCCTGGTCCCATACCATTCAACCACTAAGACTGTACTCTTATTCACTCCACATGTATGTGAAATACTTGTCAGTTCATCAGTAGCCATCTATACTCCTGGATATAGAGACACACTGTGAGAGTAAAGGCTCCCAGCCAAGACTAGAACACAATCACTTTAGCCCAGGGCCTGAACCCAGACCTCTTGATCTAAAGTCCAGTATGTTCACACACAAGCCAGTGCATCTCTCAACACTTGCAGAAAAGCTTACTTACAACATATGAGTATCAACTCTTTCTTTCCAGGATACAAATATACCCAAATATCTCTTTGAGCAGATTTTACAGTAACAGTTACTTCAAAGGGAAAAGAGATCTTACCCTCTCCTTCTGTTTCAATTGCAATTGCTTCAGGAAATGACTTCACTAGTTCCTCTCGTCGCCATTCAGCTTGCACGACCACAGTACCACTCAAAACCTCACCACAGAGGACTTCAACTTTCCTCTCTTTAGGATTTTCTAAGGGTGGATTCCAACCATGACCTGCACTTTCAATGAGTTCAGCAATGTCTGTGCTTACAGGAGTTGTGAACCCACAAAATTTCTTTCCATCCTTTGTAACCTTCTGGTAGGAATAGGTTGTGAGCTTTTCTGATAGAACCACATCCCCAAGCTTTGTTAATTCCTGATTCATACCACTACAGTGGCCCACAAAAAAGACAGCTTTTGGCCTCAGCTGAGTGACAGCATTTTTTACAACAGTCAAAGCACCACCAGGAACTTTACAACCCTCTGAGCATTTCATCAAAGCTACTTTCAGTTTAACATCTTGATCTTCACCAAAGCTGCCAAAGTACACACGACCAAGCCCTTTAAAGTAGCTTCTATATGGATCATTAATGTAATAGTAGCAACTTAAGAATTCACAGTCCTTCACTGTTAACAACAGAATGTCAATTGGGAGTTGAACATCCTTCCAGCGTTTAGAATCCTGGGTTAGTTCACTTATCTCTGGAAGACTAATATTGACCTTTGGTGGGTCACCATAAATGTTCTTTGAACTGCTCTCGTCAGCTCTCACAGTTTCTGACATTGCCAATCAGTTCCTGGAAATAAAAGCAATACAGAAACATATGAAAACTAGATTTTAATTCAATTGAATTCACCACATTTAAGCCTGGACACAATAACTAGTCTCCAGTCCTGCTCATTTAATCAACATTGAATTCATGCAACTGTAGAAGTTAATGTTAATTTATTTTGGAACAGAATTATATCAAAGATAATCTGCTTCACTGCAGAAATCTACAAAGACAATCATTTAATAATCATTAGTCATAATAACTGAAAAATACAAAATCAATCATAGTGGGTGTCAAAGCCAAAATACAAATATAGATCTGTGTTTTTTTATGAGCTTGTACCAAATAGATGTAAAATTACAGGCAGATATGAATAATCACATCTAGTGGTAAGCATCAAAGAAAACTGGACACATCTCCAGTTTGTACATCTAAGCTTATACTGTACTCAGATCAAAACATATGATAAAGAATATCAACCTAAGGTCTTGTTCCAAGCCCAATGCACAGAGGTTGCATAAATTAGTTATTTTTCTAGTTTAACATCCTTTTTCTTGAAGGCAGCCAGTTATATATTTGACACTGTTTTGAAACAGATTCTTATCAAAGCCCTGGGTGATAATTGTTTGTGTTTGGGTGGTTGATTCAAGTTAAAATGATCAGTTTGTTTAGAAAGTGTTACATGTAAAGTTCTCGAGTACTTTGGAACATTTCCTTGTTCACTTTATATTAAGCCTTGACATGCTTGACATGCTTGACATGCTTGACATGCTGACTTATTTACCATGAGTGACAAATGAAACATAACAGTTTGAAGCAAAATTCCAGCATGTGAGTCAAACACTGTGATGGTCGTTAACCAGTGACTGATACTGATATCATTTTTGATGAGTGACAAATGAGACAGGACAGCTAGTGTGCACAGCTTTGACCGTTTCCACAGCCCAAGTATATGATGGTCTTCAATTAGCCATGCACTTATACTGATTTATTTTTGATGGGTGAAAAGTAAACAGTACAGTGTGTGTAGAACCATTCCCACAGCCTATGCATATGACAGTCTTTAGTCAGCTGGTCATTACACCTTCTCCAATCAGTCTGAAAGGTAATCTGGTGGGGGATTGCATATTTTTGAAAGAGAGAAATTGAAAACAGGCTTTAACAAAATTAATAATCCTCAGAATTGTGTTGTGGGAGAGGAGACCAGCTACAAAAAAGCTAAAAATTCAATAGTTGGGGATCACATAGAACCCAACATTTTTCATTGTTGAGCACTGCTTATTTAACTGTGTTAACCATGAAGATGGGAAAATTGACACCAAAAACAGGCCACAAAAATTGGCATCCACTGGTTGCTTAATTTGTATTAAAAAATGAACTGATCTTCTGCAAATTGGTAACAGGAATAAAGAGTTGTGAAGTCAGGAAGCAAATCAAAGCATTAACACTTGATGAGGCAATTGATATAATCAGAGCTGGAAAAATGTACACCATTGAGCTGAAGAACATAGACTTAAGGAGCTGTAGAAGCACCCTTAAGTATAGTCAAGAATCAAAAAAAGAAATCTGACACCACACAAAAGGTACTAATGCTGAGACTGTGCATAGAAATCCCACAAAACAATGCACATCAATTTCCTGCCTCTGGAAAAAATGTAACAAGTGTCACAAAAAAAATCATTTGTTACAATCTGCACAGCCTTTGTTATATAGCAATGGAGGAGATAAGATAACAAGGGAAAGTTTTAACTAGGAGCTGTGTCAAAGAAATCTGCCAGGACTTTCAATCAAGTTGAAGAATCAGATGATGAACTACTGTTTTGATTCTGTGAATTGTCTGTAATGTACCTTTAACCTTTAACCTTTATTCCTGACTGTTCTTAAGTTACTATGCTATGTCATGCTAATACTTGTTTACATATAAAATAGAATGATGTTATCATACAGAATTTTGAGAATGTTAACCATGATACTGGTGTAAAATGTATCCCTAGACATGTACATGTACTGTGTAATGGAGCTCAAATCAAGTAGTTGTCAGTGGTTATCAGTAGATATACTCTGTTGCACACTAGAAGCTCTAATGCCAGCTGAAGGTCTCTCTATTATCATTGTTTTTATCATAATTATTATCTTCATTTTTATCTCTATTTTTCTATACATAAATTTATATCTACATCAATTATACACACAAGATGAATACTCACTTTTTAAGTTGCTTCTCCTGTGAGATGGTAGCAGTAGTTGAATTAAACTCTCAGGTGCTTGCTGTTGCTGGATTGAATCAATAATACCATCCACCAGATAAACCACTGACCCTGCAGTGTGGCCAATTGTGTTCACACAAATCTTCTGGGTAGTGATTAATCTGGTGGTCAGCAAAAAATTCAACCAGCTGTTGGAAAAATAACTGCTCTCGGAGAAATTCACTGAAAGTTGTGGCTGTTAATTCAGTCAGTCAAGTATCAGAACACCTGCAGCTGTTGGAATGGATCCGAACCTAACCCCAATTTAGAATATTCTGGAACTCAGCTGCAAAGAAGTAAAACACATATTAATGGTTAATTATTATTATTTATACAATAAACTGAATTATACACACATTTTGATGGTTCTTACATCAAAATGTGGTAAGCACATCTGTGGCACATTAGACAGCACCTCATATGCCACTTTTTTGTTATTTGCACATTTTGATGTGAACTATGAACTATTACTAAACAGACACACAACAACGCAAAATCTATTAATCAAAAAGAATAAGCATGTATTCATTTTATAACTGAATATACATACTTCACTATACAATTACAAATAAGTTGTTCAGACATTAAGTTTTAAAATAATGTAAAATTTGTTCTTTGCTCCTGAATACCTGGATGTGTAATTAAAACAGGATTTCATCTTTGAGTCAAATGTCAAAAACAAGAAATGTTAAGAGGAACAAAAGCCCTATAGCATCAATGAAAAAATGTTTCAGTCTGAACATGATGAAAATGGTGAAGTAGATGATTTGCATCAGCTGTTTATAAAGTTCATAATTTATTTATCTCATGAATATCTCCCAAGATCTGATTGTTAATTCTCTTCCCTTGCTGCTACACATTTCCTTGTAAATTGGTTATGAGAATTTGGTGTTCAATCAAGATAATATCTTGTGCCTAATAAATTTGAGTAATCTCTCTACCTGTTTGCTGGATAATGTAGTGACACTATTACAGGGAAGTTACATGTTAATTACTTCTGAGAGTGAAAGGGATATTAACGTTTAATTGTATTGCAATTGAAGAGAACATTTTTTTTGGAATCATTGAGACTTAGCAACCAAGTCATTGCTTCAAATGGTGACTGAATCCAACTGTTTAACTAACACTTGGCACCCAAGTAAAGAAGTTACCCTGAGTAATAGTGATGAAATAAAAACAGAAGAGAGCATTTCAAAGTAGCTCAGATTAGAAACAAGAAGCTTGTAGGCACTGGAAATAATTTACTGTTCATTAATTACTAAACTCTGACAAACTATCAAGTCCACAAGTACAATCAAAATCATAAAAGCGGTAGATTAAAATAAAATAAACACCATACAGAGGAAAGAGACTGATAAGAGTGATTAAGTCACAAATTATGCTCCCATGCATTTGATGCATGATGAAGAAGAAATTTTAACAAAAATTTGGGCAAAGCAAAGCTGTTTGAAGTGAAGCCATTGAGAGTTAATTACTGAACTACAGGTAGAATTATCTTGCCATTCTAGGATTCAAACTTATTATATACTCTACAGTGTCATAGCAGTGATATTTGAAAAGTTATTACGGCAGCAAAAAGTAACAATTAAGATGTAGAACTATTGTCAAAATGGCAAATTTAATACACCAAAATTAACTTTAAGATAGAGATAATTCAATTTAAGTCAATACTTAAGTGAGTCACAGTTAAGAATTCATAAAACGTTGGAAAAGGAAGCTGGGCAAAGTCATGATCATAAATACCTGTCGCATTAAAACAGCTCTAAGGACATCGTATCAGCAAATGATATTCCAGAATTATGATTTACAGTGTACAACGTTTCAATCAGGTTTAAGTAAAATTTCATATCGGGTGTCTTAGCCTTAAAATTTCGGTTAACTTACATAACGACTATTTCTCCTGGCCGAGATGCTTTTAAATGCGGTAAATTTAGCTTTAATTTGCAAACTGATGTCGATTAAACGATATCCGTTACGTTTAAATTAATGTACTCTATACAAGCATCGATTTTAAAAGAACAGTCTCAAATTGAAATAAAACAAACGAACAACCAAACAACAGAGAGATACTGGAAAAACAAAGAGTTTATACGTACAGCTTCCTATAAATAAACAGGGACATGATGACATAGGCAACTTTCACTTTCATGATGAAGCATTAAAGGCTGCTGATCTTATATTTACGTAAACAACTTTTTCAAATACCAATCTACAAAAATCATTTATACAGCTCTAAACTGTGCAACATGACTTTTTCTCAAGCGAACACGAGTAAGAAATCTTGGACATCTCGTAAAAACCATCTAAAAAATGCATTCTCGCTTAAGTTGGCAGACCACAACCTTACCTCCATCTTCAATCGACGATTGCACATGCTCGTGTTTAACGAAACTGAGTTACAACTGTTTACAACTTCAACTTGGCTGGGTGAAATTTACATAACGAACTGTTTTAAAAGTTCAGAGCCGGGCTGAAAGGAGGAAACACAAGGATTCTTTCGCTAAAATGTTAACTTCACTACATCGGTCAGTTGATTTCTCGAGGGAACTCTGCACTCCACTGTCACTCAAGCTTGCTAGTCACGTGATAAGCCACAAGCCGGAAGTGCTTGATGTTTCAAAAATATGTTTCATTGTTATTGATCGCTCCTTGTAGTGGAAACAGTTTGGCTCAACATATTATATATGACCCTTATGCCACAAAAAGAAAGAGAAATGTTCGGTGAAATACTGAAGTAAAACCATTCCGTGACTCCTTGAGGACAT